ACTAATATTTATATAATATGTGTCAAAACGGTACCGCTGTTGTATCACTACAATTATGAGTGGAAAGGTGACATTTTTGAAATTTATTTGCTTCTTTGATTCGTTGGTAGAACTGACTCATGCGTCAAATAACTTGATAAAGTCTGTAGCAATGTAAAACCACACTGTTTACCAATAAATTCGTGAATTAATTCATGAAGAACTTCGTCAATTTATTCATCAATAAATTGTCAATGTAAAACAACTATAACAGAACCTCCCTCGTTTCATCGAGTACTACTATATACATTTTTTGTTAAATTTCAATAATTCTGACTCCACAATTATGATTGTGATGTGATTATGGATAAAACGTTGTATTGCATTCGTGTTTTAATTGTCTTTTATCCAATTAAGAATATTAAACGTTTGAACTACGTTCTCGCGTTTAAACCTTCTTGGGTGGATAAAATGCTACTTAAAGCACATGTACAATAAAAAACTATTATAAAAAAATATAAAAGAACCATATATTTACCTCGGATGGGACGTCGGGTATAACATACTGCATAATACCCACCAAAGCAAAGACGACATGCTACGAACATAATAAAAATTGCTAGTTAGTTATTCTATCAAGTAGATTAAAATGGATTTTATCCTTAACAATTTGGATCTAATAAAATTACAAGAAATTATCAAAATTGGTGTAACAGTTGGTATTATTAAAGAAATACTGAAAATCACTAAAATTCCCAAATAGTAGATGCAGATGTATAATATATAAAATCATTTCCACAATATTCCACCTCTTTATGTTTTTTACCTACCCTTACCATTTGTTGCTACATAATAGGGTAAAAAAGATAAAGAGATAGAGATAATGTTATGTGAATTACTCTGTGCAATATGACTTAGCGAGTGTCTCGATTAAATTTGTTGGAGCAAGAATTGAAAAATGTAAAGCAGGTTTCATAATTCATAATTACCTCGAAACAAACAACAAACGCTAATCTGGCTGCAAACACGTGCCAATACTGGGGACTCAGACCGTACGGATCCGTTTCATTGGGCCCATTTCTGTACCCTGAAATCAATGATATTGAATCTTTTTCTACGTGATTGTCAATTTAGCTTTGCCTACCTCTATACTGACAGATATCTGGTGGATTTTCATCATCTCCTCGCATATCCTCTCTGTAGTGGGATGTATTAAACACTAAACAAAGCAAAACTGAAAACATTACGAAGTAAATATTGACCTAAAATAACGTACCTGATAATGACGCGTCAATGTAACCAGTCAGGTCTTCCGTAGGGGAATATTTGAACTGGTACACCATTCTGGGGATGAAGTCGCTGGTATAGGCAATGACGAAACCCTTCGATGCATTAAAAGAAATCACACAAGTGTAAGAATTGCAATAGACAATATTAACTTCTCGGCCTGTTGTAAAGAATACCAGCGTATTTTCCAGAAGGGTGTTTGTAAAACAGGCCGGAAAGTTAACGTAATATTTCTTACAAATTTAATGTATAAAGTAATTATTTTGTCTCTCAAATATTATTTGAAATAAGTTATACTAGTTAATTTATCATAAAATTAGTGCAAAAAGTTTTGTTATTTACTAAAATTCGAAAATATAAAATGTTAATTTCTCGGCCTGTTGTGAAGGAGGTCATCAATATTCCTCGAAGAACGCCTTTAAAACAGGCCGGAATGTTGAATATTGAATTTATGATTTTACGAAAAATAAACTAACATTTGATACGACAGCAGCGTAGGTAATTGCTCTCAAGATGCCGTACCATGCACCAATGTCTTCCACCCTTTCGGCCAAAGGCCTCCTAGACTGGGTCACCATTTTGTACGCGTCCAACCTGATTTCGGCGATGTTGTTGAGGAGAGCACAGAGCGGCGCTAGAGGAAAGGCAGCCACGAATAACGTAACAAAACCATACTGCAGAACTACAACAGATAAAGAATGACTTATAAAAATTAAAAAAAAATTAAGTTATAGGATATTAGGTAGTAACATCAGTAGAATTTATAATGACTAGAGATATATTATATACAGAGTGTCTCACGAGGAACTGCACTGCTTTTTTATAGGAAATATTTTTTTACATATTTCAGGAAAACTTAACGATAGTATTACAAAATTATATGGGGTAATACCTGGAAAATTTGCACTTCCTCGCGAGATATACTCTATAAGTAATAAAAACATACAAAATTCAAACATACTCATTTCTAAGTATTCATCAAAAAGTGCTAGTCGGCCAGGGTCCTGCAAATGATAGTCCTCCTCCCACCTAGTATGTTTCCTGTTCAAATCTTTCGTGTTCGACCGATGGGTTCGCCACCTCCACCAATTGTAAAACGCCCTTAAATAAAGGAATGTTTCAGATATTTGAGTACTGGGAAACGCAATATGTCCCTATAAGTCTGACGAACTATTCTTTAATGACGTCACAGAGGTTCAGTAAATCTCAATGTCAATATTATTACATACTAGCTTATTTTATGTATTTCGGTAACAATTATGATATAATTGTGTGGCAAAATGCAATTTTATACATTTCTATACAGGGTGTCCCACGGGGACCGCCTAGCCGGGTGTCTTGGCCGATGGATTTCAATCGGCCGAGGTAAGCATCATGGGCGCAGGCTGGAGCTTGGATAGGTGACCTAAGGCAGGCTCGGGGACGTGGCTGTGGCAGCCTACCAGAGACCTGGGTCGCTCAACACCTTGCGCCTGCGTGTGGTCCCCGATAAAATGGTAATGAGAATAGAGCAATAAATCTCTGTAACTCAAGATCATGCTGTCATACATAAAAAATTGTACGAGACTTTGCCACCAAGCCACCCGTGTTGTAATAGGATGGTTTGAAGAAAAGTACCCGAGTAATGAAGGGGGGTGTACAAGGGGCCTATTAAGGCCTAAGTGCCGCGGTGAAAAAGCAATTTTCCACTACCCCCCCCCCACATACATACATACATACATACATACATACAGGGTGTCCCACAGGGAACAGCGTCGATCGATATCTAGGAAAGTACTGCTCCGAAAAATTTGAAAATTTGGCAACATGGCAATGTTCCAGGGGCGAACATAACTAAAATATCTAGAACTCTCCAGTACTTACGGTTATACCGGAAGTCGACACCAACTTCGTTATTTTACATGGGACACCATAGAATCCGAAAATGCATTAATATATCGAGTATCCGATTTAAAATAACGAAGTTAATGTCGACTTCCGGTATAACCAGATGTGGTGGAAAGTTCTAGATATTTTAGTTGTGTTCGCCCCAAGTTGCCAAATCTGTAACATTTTTGGAGAAGCATTTTCCCAGATATCGATCGACGCAATTCCCTGTGGGACACCCAGTATGTAGCATGCTTGTGCAACATTTTTTTAACGTGTACAAAGGACTACTAGTTTACCCACGCTGCCGTAACTATTTAACTATTCAATTTGTAAATTTAACTTCCTTGACATATTCTTTACTTACGGATTGAATAATTCGATGAAATTATTGAAAATTTGTTTGCCTATCATTATAATAGACAGCTGTATACATAGTTCGCTGAGGCAACCAGCAGGGTCACACACGTCCCCTTTCACTCGAAAGAATTCCGATTTTCTACTAGTCGTATCACCTGGATAGTCAAAAAATCTACCCTACAAGAAAAATATCACTAAGTAGGTACTCACACTAAATAATATCCAGTCTTACCTTAAAAAACGCTATGTATATCAGAGAAGAATAAAAGTTCATAAATTCGAATAAAAATATCTTAAAAGTATAAGAGTCTTCGTATTCAGTTTGCGTTCTGGGACTCTCTAAATTTGTTAAATATATCGCTAGCCTATGATAATACTGAAAGCAAAAGAAATTACTAGCTTGTGTAAAAAATGCTATTTCACAGAACATTCCAAAATAAAAGTTATTATCAACATCTCGGCCTGTTTGTAGAGGAGGCCTTCGTATCGTATTTAGCGAGCTTGCTTGAAAACAGGCCAGAATGTTGGTTCAATGTTTTTAATATCTTGCTTACCCTAGTAAGACACATGATGATTATTAAATTAATGACTGCTGCCGAGACAGAGGTAACAATTTTGGCATGTTTATTCAGGAAAGTGGATTGGCTCCCGTATATCACCGAAACGAGGGACAGTCTGTAGATTATTGTACCTAACACGGCACATAAGACGACGAATAACTGAAAAAAACGTCATTATACAACCGGGTTATTTTTTGGATAAAACTTTACCATAAAAAACACCGCGGAACCAGTGGCAACTAGTCTAAAGGCCTTGGACCACGTTGGCAGATAAGGTTCTTTCTCCCTGGTTACTGGGTTCGTCCTAAATGTTTTGACACTCGTTTCGAACTCTAAAACGCGAAAAAATTAACAGACGCTGTAACCTTATATGAAACTACTACATCAGTTTAAATAATAAAAGAATAAGCTAACCTGGTCTAGGTTCCTCGTCTTGTTCTGTCCCTTGTAAGTCCCATTCCCACTGTATTACACTCTGTTTCCTCCTCCACAATTCCAGAAAAACCGTAGCTAGAACATTTTTTTAGCACAGATTTCTTTATAAAACAATAACAGAAAACGTTCTTTACTTCTTTTGCGGAAACTCATTAAATTAATTAAAAGAATTTTCCTATTTCGGAACTGTTTTTAAAATAGTACCCGCTACATAATTAAAGTGAAATCATTTTAATTATACAGGGTGTTTGGCGTGAGCGTACATATTTACCGGGCTGTGGATCCAGCCATAATAAACGTAACAACCGACAGATTTTGGCTAAGATACGAGGTATTAATTTAAAAAAAACAGTAATTATCTTTAGTCACAATATTAGCGTCAGGAAAGGTTATGGCAAGCTCATCTTAAAAGTCATATCCTAATTTGGGAACTTTATATTATGACACTCTAGATTTCCCGTTGCCAGCCTCCTAGATTTTAATGGGGTCGTGAAGAAAATCAGTAGTGCACCATTTTTTTCTCAATAAACCTATGCCCATGGCAAGAAGAAAAATATTTGATACGTCAAAAATAAAGCTTTCGAAGCCTATTATACAGGGTGATTCGCAAATGGTGAATCTCGTATTCTTTGGTGAATACGAGACTGACTTTACGCTCACAACCATGATATTTTCCTCACAAAAAGAAATCCAGTGGGTTGAGGTTTGGTATTTTCAATACATTTTTTAACTTTTATTCGAAAATCAGGCTTTTTTTTGAAAAACATAAGATAGTAGTGATTTGTAGAAAATTGAAACACGAATCCAAGAAGCAGTGACGTACTATTTTATTTAGAAAAATATGCCACCGATACCCTGTATCTTCGCCACTGGAGCATGTAAATTTTAGGAAAAGCCTTCATATTTTGGACAATATGTACATAAATACATGTGCCCAATTTCAAATTATTTCACTTACTAGTTTATAAATTATCTAAAAAAATAAAAAATATTTTTTGAAGTTAAACACCCTGTATCTTTTTAACGAAACGACCTAGATAAAAACTTTATAGGAAAAATACCCCTTAAAATTCATCAAAGATTACGAGGTTTCATTTTTAGTCACCATTTATGAATCACCCTGTATAGGCAAAAATTTTTTTTTGGTAAAATTTAACACCTTGTATCTTGGAAACTAATCCGCTTATGACATATGTTCATAGCAACTTTTTTTTCCTAGAATTAACTGAGGAATCACTCCTTTATTATCGAAACATACTTAAGCACTACCCTGTATGAATTCGTCAAAACAAAATTAGGTAAGTGAAATTGGAGACAATTATTTATCGGTTTATTTTCCAACCTTAAAGGAGTATATAAAAGAAAAATGTTGCGTTTCAGAGATACATACATTTTAATTCGTTGCACTATATTTCAGTGGAATTGATAGAAAAGAAAATATTACTCGATCTTGATTAGGATTTTACTTTTACTTGACCAGATCTATCCCAGAAACACGCATTAAGCTAAATCACAATTATTATACTCTTCAAACTAAATCTGAAACTATCTAAAATCGTCTATGAAAGAAATTTATTATTTTTAGATCATCCAAAATATACCCGTTACAAAAATACGTCTAATATTCGTCTAAAATATCCTGGTTTAAAATTCGACATCAGTGGAAAATTACTTACAAAATTACAACAAATCTACTGAAATAGTATTAAATTAATGGTTTATTATGTAGGTATGTTATATAAAAAGAGTTCAGACTGTACCGTACAATTAAAAAATGACATATATACAGGGTGTTCCATTAAAAAATCAATGATGACTTCATATATTCTTCTTGAAACACCCTGTATATTATTTTCGTATGTCAAAAAATCCGCAACTAAAAATACTAATCGACGTGTTCGAGCGTTTTTCCACAACATAATTACCTGAATTTTAAACGAAATACTACAATACTTGAACATCATTTTAAGCCCTGAACCAAAATATTTGGTGTGGCGCTTTTTTTCCGATGTCAGAATAAGAAATTCGATATTTTTCATGTATGTAACTATAAAAATTTTACTTCAAAAATCAAAAAGAGAGTTGTAAGTTATTTTAACAAAGTGAAAACTATTAAGCCAGTATATATATTAAATGTTTTATTTATATACACAAAATAAAAAGTAGATTTATTATAATGGTACAAACATAATTTATAGCAAAATTAATAATTCAATCGTATAGAATTACAATCAGTTTTCAATCAATTAGTTGAATAAATGAGTCAATGTATTTTTACACACAACTAATAGATGATACGGCTATACATGAGAGGCATTGTAATCGCATAAAACACGTAATAATTTCATGGAATATTCAGGGTGAATGTTTGATGCTTTGCATTGATCCCATATTTTTTAAAAATCTGAATGTGCGGATTCTGTAGCTTGTTCGCTGTAATAAGCTAATCCTCTGTTTTTTCCAAACAAAAATCTTTAACATGGAAAAAATTGAATACACGTTCTTCGGACATATGAAAAAAGTGAATGAAGAAGTAAGTCTACAATGGTCAAATAAATGCAACGTTCAGCGCCAATGTACTTATGGAAGCCCAACATTTGCAGGAAATGCTTGCTAAACATTGCTTAAAAATGTCGACATTTTGGCCAATTTCAAGTGTTTGTTGACTGTTTCATAAAGTTGTTAACAGCTGTTTTTCATTGGAACTTAATGAAAAGTTTTTAAGTCATATTGATGAATTCAGGAAAAGTTATATGAACTTTGATATGTCGCCTAAAAAAATATAATTTCACAAGTTCCTAACCTACATATTTTCAGAATAATCGCAAAAAAAACGATTTAAAATTTTAACTTTCAACACCCTGTATTTCCGAAACTATTAACTTTCGGATAAGGCATGTTTGCGCCATTCGTCACCATTTCACGTGTAGTATCTACAGCTTTCGACTATCCCATTGTTAATGAATCACCCTGTATATACTGGCTTAATAGTTTTCACATTGTTAAAATAACTTACAACTCTCTTTTTAATTTTTGAAGTAAAATTTGTATAGTTACCTACATGAAACTTATCAAATTTCTTATTATTCGCTCAGGAGCATCGTGTACGGTTTGTATCAATAACAATATGTATTTGTACGTACCCCACAAACTCATGAATATTGCAAAGAACACGGTCGCCGGGTTGTCGAAGAGATAAGTAAGCCTAGCGAATTTACAGCTGTCTTTAAGTTTTTGATATGTACATGCTTTGTCGCACAACGGGCAAAGCGTTATGTTTCCTGGTCCGTTTGGATCACATATTTCTTTACTGAAATGCAAGACAAAAGTGACAGAAACTATAATAATAGAATTATTATAGGTACTATAAAGGTAGTTTCTTACGTTGGGATATTGTCATCCCCGTCTATCGTGAAAATGCCGTATAGAAAACAAAGAGTCCCGACCATCGCAGGGGCAAACAGCATCTTCGTGTAAAAGCCTAACCAACAGAAGTACAGGGCTATCTTATCACCGAAATATTTCCGCACTATGTTGAGTGGTTGTCTTTTCATCCATTTTCCAGGTCTAGCCCATTCTAGATACAGTAACTAAAAACATTTAAAATGATTAGACCAAAACTCAGTGGCGGCTCGTGACTTTTTGAGATGGGTGGGCAAAATATTTTTTCTCTCATGTAACTTAATATCATATAATAATTGCAATCTACGTTAGTCTATTTACTTTTGAAAGTGTAAAAAACTTCAGAATTATGAAGATAGTTAATATAAATATACCTGAAAATTATATTAGTTATTCCAAAAGTATACCTAATAGTTCAGCAAGAACAAACGAGAATGTCATCACAGTGATTTCTTGCCGGGATAGGGGATAAGGCAAAGATTAAGGCATAGAAGGACATATAAAAAATTATATAATTCTTTAAACAAATACTAACGATAAATTATACTAAAATTCTAATAAGTAAATAAATAAATAAATAAATAAATAAGTAAATAAATAAGTAAATAATCAAATCAATAAGGCGCTTTACAATGTCTCTATTTTCGTCCACGACTTTATTATGGTTTAAAATATTATCACGAAATGCAGAATCAAGAAAAGTTTGAATGTTTCGTTTTCCTAATAATTTAAATTTTAATGTTGAATATGTATGCTCCTCCGATCGCTCGTGTTTTTTAGAGATTCATTTATATCTTTCAGATCTGAATATCCTAGATAATTCCATGGAGTTTTACTTGTTTCATTAAACTCTAAGCCAAGGGTCGGCAACTGGCTGACCGCGGTCCAGGTCCGGACCGCGTAAGGTAAAATACTGGACCGCCAAAAATTTTTTTAAAGTATAAATTACTCAAATAAATTATTTAAAAAATGTTTTTTATGTTTAAGTGCCAATCTTATCATTTTTTCTAGTATTTTACAATTGTGTGAGTGTGTGAGTTCTTAATGGTTAGTAAGCAGATTAAAATTGAGTCCAAATTAAAATAAAAAAATAATATGAATATTTTTTTGGACCTCGTTAAAAATTTTCAAAAGTATCCGGACCCCATCTAAAATTACTTGCCGACCCCTGCCTAAGCAATTCCAACAATATAATTTGTTTCTGGTTTCACTACAAGTTAACCACTCATATTTATTGTACCAATTTTTACTAAATGATATGTTACCTACTTCCGCAATTGATTTATTTATTAAATTTTTCATGTCAGGCGTAGGTTTTAATTTTGAAATAAATAATTTATCATCGAAAGTTAACATACAAAATTTTTTATTTAATAAAAAATTAATATCACCATTGCTACTCACCAATTCGCTATTTTCGGCTTGCCATTTTACTTTACTCCAAACTATTAAACAATAAAAACACTTAAACCGCTATACTAACCCTAAGCTAGAACTTACAAACAACCAAGTCGTGAAGTACAAGGAATAACAAATCTCTACCTTCCTAATCTATGAAATAAAACTAACAATACTAACATCAAACCGCAGATTACACGTAAGTACCCGAAGAATATACGAGTGAAGTCGAAGGGCTTGCCCGGAGAGTAGAGTTATTTTAGGTAATGATGTAGGTATATTCAAATGATAATTTATTAAAAATCTGATTGAAATAAAAAGATATATTAAATAGAAGCTATTTTTTTTAATCGAACAGTTTATTATTTGAAAAATTAAATAAATATCTAGGTATCGAATTTAAAAGTCCTAAATATAATTTATATCACTTCCATAGTTATAAACTCGAATATATTAAAATATTGAAAATTTTTCAGCAATCGCTCTTACTTTATTAACAGTAACGCTTCAAAATAACCTTAATAAATATAATTGTCAAAGAACATTCAATATATCATAGATATTTATTTTTTAACGCGATTTACAAATTATTATAAAACGGTTTATTACTTCGTTTCCTAATATTTGTTTTCTGGAATACCTTTGCAGGGAAAAATTGTTCTAATGTTTAAAAATTCATTTAAAGAACAAAATTACAGCACATAAATATACATATATTTCCAACCGCTGCTGACTGGCTAGCGAAAAGCCGTGGCTGGCCGATACAACACTCGATGAGTATGCGGGCTGTGTCGGGCTCGCCCGACTTGGGCTCGATATTCTAAATTAGTGAACGACTTACGTTTCCGATTACTCTCTAGTCCTAGCCCTGCGTATAAGCAGGCAACGTACGGCGTTGTTTAATTCAGCGGCCACGGGCTGGCCCAAATGTTATGTTGGTTGCTGCCGAGATCATCCCAAAAATAATTTACATCACTCCCATGTTTACAAACTAGAATCTATTCAAATATTGAAAATTTCTCAGCAATCAATTTTAATTCAATTTAACAGTAACGATTTAAAATAACCTTAATAATTATAATTATCAAAGAACATTCAACATAACACCATATATATTTATTTTTTTACGCGATTTACAAATTATTATAAAACGGTTTATTATATCGTTTACTAAAATTTGTTTTCTGGAATATCTTTGCAGGGAAAAAATTTTCTAATATTTAAAAATTCATTTCAAGAACAAAATTACAGCAAATAAATATACGTATATATATATTTCCAACCACTGGTGAAAAGTCTTAGGTGGTCGATACAACACTCCATGGGTGCTCAATGGGTATATGCGAGCTGTGTGCGGTGTGCGGGCTCGCCCGATTTGGGCCAAATATTCTAAATTAGTGAACGACTTACGTTTCCGATTACTGTCTAGTCCTAGGTGCGTATAAGCATGCAAGGTATGGTTGGGGTACGGCGTTGTTTAATTCAGCGGCCACGGGCTAGCCCAAATGTTATGTTGGTTGCTCACGATTAAAATATAATTTTAAAATTTGGTAGGAGTTTCAAAAGAGGTAACGCATTTTAGATTTAATTTTATAAGAATTGTCAAATCACTTTCATAAATATATACACAAATTTTTATTTATTCTTCTGAAAATTTCAGGGTGGGCACTGCCCACCCTGCCCACCCCGGCGAGCCGTCACTGCCAAAACTTCTGTATAAGTTACAAATCACGGTCAGTCTTGAAAATTAATTCAAATTGAATCTAAAAGTTTCTCTAGAGAGGTATCTAAAACGCAACATCGAAAATAAACTCTTAATAATGTAGGGAACAACTACTCTGCGGACAAAAGCCCCGCCCAGCATTGATTTTCATCCACAATATCTAGTAAATATGTGATCATCTAATTATAACAATTATTAATTAATTTTATTAATGTTTACTAGATATTGCGGGTGTATTTCAATGCTGGACAGGTCTTTAGTCCGCAGGGTAGTTGCTTCCTACAATATCATAAGTTATTAATTAAAATGTCTTTAAAATTATTTTTAGCATATGGAAATGCTGGTGTCAAAGAGCACATACGATTTCGTCTCATGAAAATTTTTAGATTTGATTTGAATTAGGTTTTGATACCTTTTAAAGTAAAGTAAGTGTCCAATAGTGTCCAAATTATAGAGTTCTCTTATTATTTGAGATATGTAACAAACATTTGAATAAAATCTGGAGAGATAAACATACAAGATGATATATAAAATCCTGAGGCTCTATTAAAATTTGTAAAAAATTCAAATGTAACAAAAAAAATATCAAAATACTTGACAGTGTGAAAGGTTAGCCACCCACATTGTAGAGATAACAAATTCCGGATATAAACAAACTTACCCTTCTATCCAATATTTTTCCATCACTAGATTCCTTGTCCCACTTCCCTTCATGCAGTGGAAAGCAAGCAATATATGTGTAATCATTCAAAAGTCTCCTGATTCCAACCTAAAATGTTGAGAATAATTTTCTGGCAGCGGATTTACAGTTTATAGGCCAGGAAAATAAGCTGAGAAATGACCATTTTGCGACTTTTTGTTTCGACAAGCTGAATTTATCACTATAGATGCTAAATATTATGTACAATAACATATTAGTTTCCACAGTCATAAAAATGGGGGGAGGATTGTTTACAGGGTGGTTAATTGTATAATTTTTACGTAAATTCACGTTTTTCGCTTATAACTTTTTTCTGTTCATTTCCACGAGAAAATACCAAAGGACTTTTTTTCGTCTTCAAAAGACCTACAAAACTAGCCCTCAAGCGTCAAAAAATATTGATCAAATCAAAAGTTATAAACAGAAGAAGTTTTTTTATGACTTTTGAATTAAACATTTATAAACTGCGTTATTATTATCAGAACGTTTTGACATCGCATCCTCTCATTCCTTATCACTGTCTAAGAACCCACACGAAATCTGATATCGGTAAATTGAATGGTTTACAAGTTATAGCTTTATAAACAAATTAACAAATTATTAGTCTGGACGATCCAGAGGATCTTCCACAATCGCACTGATTTTTTTCATGGTAGGTTTCATAATAATACATTGAAATCTATCATTTTTTTTTAATTTCAAATTTGCAATCTGTAAATTTTTTTATTTTTTAATCTTAGTTGCAAAATGAAATATACGACGCACGAGCGTGATATAGTTATATATTATTACATATTCGGAAAGCTTATGAAAATAGCTTTAAGTTAAAAAAAAATCGTCAAGATTCGTTGAAAAACAACGGAGTTACAAACTGTCAAAATTTACGGCCTATTATTGTTAAACACACCAGGTTGATAGCGGCAAAAAATTACTGTCATAAACCGGCAAACCAAGTACTTTCCCAGGTAAAAATATTTTATTTGTGGAAGTATGTTAAGTGCATAAGAAGTATTGTCAAAAGTCAGTGGGTCGCTTGATTTTCGGTGAGCTGTGGCGCGGCGGAAGGGTGAGGGAAGTGAACGACAGCGAGTCCGAAGAAAGTGACGATAATATTCATAGTCCTGCCGTTAAATAAGCGAAATTTTCTTGAAAATAATATATTTGACAGTCTGTAACTCCGTTGTTTTTCAACGAATCTTGACGATTTTTTTTTTTAACTTAAAGCTCTTTTCATAAGCTTTACGAATATGTAATAATATATAACTATATCACGCTCGTGCGTCGTATATTTCATTTTGCAACTAATGCTAAAAAATAAAAAAAAATCCAGGTTGCAAATTTGAAATTCAAAAAAAATGATAGATTTCAACGTATTATTATGAAATCTATCATGAAAAAAATCAGTGCGATTGTGGAAGATCCTCGGGATCGTCCAGACTAATAATTAATTTAAGGCCATAACTTGTAAACTATTCAACTTATGGATTCCAGATTTCGTGTGAGTTATTAGGCAGTGATAAGGAATGAGAGGATGCGATGCCAAAACGTTTTGGTAATAATAAAGCAGTTTATAAATGTTTAATTCAAAAGTCATAAATAAACTTCATCTGTTTATAACTTTTGATCTAATCAATATTTTTTAACGCTCGAGGGCTAGTTTTGTAGGTCTTTTGAAGACGAAAAAAAAGTACATTACTGTTTTCTCGTGGAAATGAACGGAACAAAGTTATAAGCGAAAAACGTGAATTTACGTAAAAACTATAAAGTTAACCACCCTTATTGTACATAATATTTAGCATCTCTATAGTAATAAATTCAGTCGAAACAAAAAGTCGCGTCCAACTCTATATTTCCTGGCCTATTAATGTCGATAACATCTTCAAGCAATACTTGTACACATACTAACCTAACCTCGCTAAACCTAGCCTAACCTAACCTAACCCCGGAAGTCACAAACTTGTGTGGAAGAGGGGCCGACATATTATTACTCTTTAAGCTATATTAGACTCTCTGTACTTCAATCTTTTTTAATCAAATTAAACTCACTTTATCAGTATCGTCAAATTTAACCCTTAAAAGTATCTGCATAACGATAAGACTTCTCTGGGCACTCGAGTAGCTCGTTACTCTGTCCTTCACGACAAATCTAAAAACAGCAGTTGTGGCAATTATCTGTTAAAACATTTTTAATGAAGTCACTGAAATAATTATAAGGTTTAAATTGTTGGAATATAAATACGTACTGTTCTTCTCTGTCTGCTCCCTCAGTGGCGTCGTAGAAGGAAGGTTCCTGGGGTATCAGATCGTGGTTGTTCTCGAAGAATTCGTTCCACTTCTTCTTCCACGTCGCCCACAAGGATTCGTCCTTGCCTTTGTCCTTTTGGTCGTCCTACAAAAGATTACGATGTTACAAAAAACTAAAAGCATTCCGTATGTGCGTACCCAAGCTTTGACGGAAATAGTTATAAATCTTTTTATTGGTAGTTTCATCCCCATAACGGCTGCGTATCTCGTTTTGGTTTTCCATGGCAGGTGGATTTTCAGAAACCAAGTTTTTCCGTCAAAGGAAAGATCCTTGTGTTCGAGTTCTAGCTCCAAACCTTCTTTGACCAAATTTTCCTTTAAAAGAATCGTACAATTCAAAAATTAAAACAACTTTTTTGAATTACCTGAAAAACTTTTCTCCTGTCTCTTCTTTTGGCCTCCGCTTCCGTCATCACCCCTAGTTCTTCTTCTTCGTAAACCAACACCATGTCAATTTTCCTTCTACCATCACGAAAATATAAACTTTCCGGGTCCAGGACCTAAATAAAAATTTTATTTTATTTCAGAAAAATAAATTTGAATTTCTAATTAGTCGTATGTATTTCAAAAATTGTTACCTCTTCTTTTTCAGCGGGACTGATGGGAGCGGATATCTCCGTGAACTCTTCAGGGTTATCCTGCACCAGAGAAGGCAGTGGCGTGCCAGGCAGGGTCACCTGTGAATCGTCATCGAGTTGTGGGCCAAAAGCGTCCTTGAGAGTCGAAAAATTGTTCAACTTTGGCTAGAAAATGAATAAAAACATTTCTTAATTTAACTCCATTCGAAACCATTGATTATTCGTCCAATAGAATTTGAAAAAATACAGAGGGTTCTACAAGCTCTAAGACAAACTTTGACAGATGGTAGCTGGGTTAATTTCAAACATTTTTTCTTATATTCGTTTTTGTATAGAAGTTACAAGCATTTAAAAAATATAATTTTATATTTCAATCAAAGTAGCCTGATAAATAAAAATGAAGGTTGCTATAACAATAATTATTATTTTTGTCATTTTGTTTATTTGAAACTTAGTGCATTATTATCATTTCGTAGACTTCGAGAAGAAGGTATTCCCGCTGTTATTGACAACTCTTCAATTAGTGTTCGGCGTATAGCAAGTAATATGCATTTATCACTGAATTTTATATGGCGTGTATTGAACAGGGAAAGGTTACATCCGTTTCATCGCCAAAAAGTATCTGACGCTTTGAGTATCCGCTGAACTTGCAGGTATGACGTCACCGCATGGGAAACCCATGCCTAGGGTTGCCAGATTTATTTCATGATTGACCTGGAGAAATTCATGGCTAAAAAAAAAAGGTCTTTAGAAAATCTGGTAATGAAATTGTTTACGAAGAAACTGAGCTCTAAAAAAAAAGAAATATATAATCCTAAGTTCTGCAATTAGACAAATCGATGTCTAAAAAAAAGAAGGAATATGACTGGAGGAAATGGATTTCGAGGGTGGGTAGGGCGTTAACCCAGAGAAATGACATGTTAACCCGGAGCCCGAAGATGTACCATCAAAACCCGAAGACTCCGGGTCAAATCCGGAGATCTGGCAAGCCTACCCATGCCACTTGCATGTGTTGTCACTTGTCAGTCAGTCGGGTAGTCGGATTTTAGTTGCCTGTTAAGTTTCGATTGAGTACATAAAGATACCGAATTTTGTTAGCAATATGGAAGACACAGAACAGAAAAAACTTACAAATATTGTATTGTTCCCCAGTGTGATAGGATAGCACTACTATAGTGTGAAGACTCCTAAGAAAATAATAATGTCCCCGTAATTCTGTCGTGCGGATCTAAATTCAATAGTCTATTAGCCTCTATTTTGATTTGTTTTTTTAATATATTTTATTTGAAAAATTACTTATTTTGAAAGTGACAGAACTATCCTTCGGAATTTAGGTATCTAATAAATACGTTTGTATCCTCTAGAAACACTATACACTTGTGTTTCCATTGTTGATTTTTTTGTCAATATTATACAAATACCTATAGGTACTAAGTATTTATATAAAAATACATAATAAATATTATATTATTAATATATTTATAAAATATTAGGTAGATTTTATGTAGTTTACGTGGGAATAAAAATACTAATAAGAATTTTGTATTTCATTGGATAAATCTTTGAAACCTGTCACAGAAACGGTTTCGTCCAATTAAACGCAAAGTCCTTATTCTTATTTACTATTTTTATTGTCAAAAACATGAAAACCTTCGCTACAAACGTACTTTAAAGAAGCTTTACATTAATGAAACGTAACCTTTGCATTTTCACTCCTCTCATCTCAGCACAGATAAAGTCGTAGTTTTTATAACCATAACCATTAACAAATCAACTTCTGGCAAATTAGAAGAATCTGCTTTTACGATATTTGCTTCCATTTTTTGAATTTAATGTGCACAAACGCTAAAACAATCTATAGATGCAGAAACTCATCTAGAAGTAGCGCCAAGCCGGCTGACCGTCCCATGCGGTGACGTCATTGCATTGCCACGGCTGAGACAAATATTCGCATGTTAAAAATCATGGACAGGTCAACAAGGTCCAATTGCATGGCCACCGTGATCCCCAGATCTAAATCCCTTGGTCTTTTATTTATGGGGACATATGAAGCAGCTTGTCGTATTGAAATCACTACTCGTCAGTAGTTACTTGAAATAATTCAGGATGCAGCTAACCAGATAAGAAATGATCCAAATCTCATCCGTCGAGTGACGAAATCTTTAGTTCGCCAATGTGAGGCTTGCATTCGAGTCGAGGGTGGACATTTTGAACAATTTTTGATTTGTTAATTTGGTTAATAAAGGATAAATGTTTAAAATTTAAACACAAATAATAATTATTGTTATAGCAATCGTCACTTTTATTTATCAGGCTATTTTGTTTGAAATATGAAATTATATTTTTTAAAAATGCTTGTAACTTATAAACAATAACGAATCATCTATGTTCATATCCGAAAAAATGTTTGTATATCACAGTTTAGAACATATTATAAGTTTAACGTAAAATAAAAGTTAATTTACACAAATTTTCTTGTTTTGACTGGTCTATACTTAATCCCTGAATATTGTTATATTAAAATCTTAACGCCCTGTGTATTGAATGAATGCACCAATTTCAATATAATTTTCTAAAATTTTCTCAGAAATCATACCAGCCTGTAACCATTTATACGACCTATTGCTGTTGTAACATTCCCTTTATTAATCGTGCCACAGTACATGAATCATTTCATCAGTTACGTAGAAACATTCAATAATCCATACCTGTGACGTTAAAATTGTAGTTTTTACGCAAGAAGGTTCATTAATAATTATTGATACAAACAAAGGCGCTTACATGGGGATCTACGAACTTGTCCTTTATTTTTTAATGTTAAAAGGTAAAGAGAAAATTGGATTTCTATATATACACGTAAACAGGACTGCAAATTTCTAAGATTGGGATATTTTTAGACCTTCGTGTCTGCCCTCAAGAATATAGATAACGTGTTTTATTCGATTATAAAGGTAGATGTGCAGTGTGCACTTTTTTAACTGAAACATTCCTAATAGTACATGCTCTACTTTCATGTTATATCAATTGTGAGATCAGTATTGAACTAAAAAATAAAAGCACATCCGTTAACCAAAACTATTTTTAACACGTTATTAAAAATTGGCCGCCCTTTCTCTTCATCTTATATTTTTTATATTCCATATTTTGATGGCTTGTAGTATCAGTGGGCATTTGATTTAAGAAGACACACTTTTGTGATTATCGAACGACGATTGCGGAAAAATAGCTCATTTAAATCCAGACGTAGCGATGTTGGTCGAGCTCGATATGTTCGAATAAATAACAATGAAGTGTTTTTAATTGTTGTTGAGGAAAATCGTACAGTTTCCACAAAAAAAGTTTCTCAAAGCCTTCAAGGTAATGCACCACATTGTGTTGTATCGCATTAAAAAATACAAAAGTTGCTGCTGCGAAGCTCATGACATAAAAACTATCTGGAAACCGATTGTGTGATTATGTGAAGGACAGTTGGTAGATGACCTCGTGAGTTATAATCTTAAGTTTGTTATTAACAATTTTCAACAAAAATTCACACTTTTTTTAGTTTTTTGCTTATAAAACAGAAACTACTGAAGCAATCTTAATGTTGTCAATGGACGAATCGTAGAGAATGAAATTACGAAGAGAATGATCAGATCGCATAACTAGAACCAGAGAATCCGGAAAATTTGACGTTTTTTTTTTAAATTCACAACTCCGCCATTTTTTATATATCTATAGGCACATATATGCGCGCTTTCCCCCCCCCCTACTCCAGTGTTTACGTAAGCTCGACCGTTTCTACTCACATTCACGACACTTTTTCACCAATTTCTCTGCATTGTATGGAAAAATGAAAATAGACGTTTTGGTCCTGTGCCTGTCTAGTTTCAAATTCCTTTTTTGAAACTCCGCCCTCCACGAAAAAAATTCAAATGGCGATTGTGCAAAAACTATAAGCTCGATAGAATCAGGGTTTTGCACACATAAAATACATGTAAATAGCTACCTATGTGCAAAGTTTCAGTTAAAATTAAAAAATAGCGGAGTTGTGAATTTTTAAAGAAAACATCAAATTTTCCTGTTTTCCCGGATTTTTTCCGGTACTAATTATCCAATCGGATCATTCTCTTCGTAATTTCATTCTCTACGATTCCATTGATAACATTAAGACTGCTTCAGTGGTTTCGATTGTATAAACAAAAAACTGTAATAGACATTATCGAGAAATGAAAATCGAAAAAGATATTCAAGAAAAACGCAACCAAAAAATTTTTACTTTTTTCAAAGTAATTTTTGGTCACTTGAAATGAATAAAATCGTTATCACTCTCTTTTACCATAAAAGTAACTACAACCTTAAGGAAAAAAATAAACGCTAATTCGTTTCTCTACAACTATTCTTCAAGCAAGAAGAGCCGATTTTCGAAATAACCTTTTTTTTCTAAAAATCGATATAACTCGGAAAATTTTTAATATTTTTTAATTTAAAAAAGACACTTTTTTGCTTGCCGAGGGCTACATTTGCAGCAAGTAGCAAGTTTCAAAACTTTAATTTGCAAAAGATACAGCAAAAACAAAAAAAGTCGATTTTTGACTGTATAGCAATCGTTATATTTAAAAATACGAATCGATATGTGTTTTTAATAGCCATAACTTTCTCATTTAACTTTTTTCGATAGGGGTTCAAGTTTTTTTTATTGGCAAAAAACCGTTTTTTTTTTAATTTTATGAATTTTTTAGGTTAACTTCGCCGTTTATACGCCACAGGAAAAAAACACTGAATATGACGACGGATTAACACGGAATATCATGAAAGATGCAGAAGAAGCATCTTCATGCTTACAAAGTTCAATGGACTCAGGAAGTGAAGCAGAGCATGAAGAGAATTCGTTGAATGGATTAGATATACAAGTAGATGCTGATTTTTCGAACAAAATCATCTTCAGCGATGATGCTCATTTTCATCTTGGGGGTTCAGAAAATCCACGAGTGATTTTTGAGAGACAAATGCACCCACAACGTGTCATTGTTTGGTGCGGATTTTGGACTGGAGGCAGCTTTGGGCCATTCTTCTTTGAAAATGCGGCTGGTCAAGCTATAACAGTCAATGGTGCTCGCTATTTCGACATGATAATCCAGTTTTTTGTGCCTAAATTGCAAGATATGGATGTAGACGACTTGTGGTTTCAACAAAACGGTGCCATATGCCATACAACCCGAGAAGCAATTCAATTACTGCATGAGTCATTTCCTGGTCGTGTAATTTCCCGTTTTGATGATCAGGATTGACCGCCTAGATCAAGGGTCGGCAACTGGCGGACCGCGGTCCAGATCCGGACCGCGGAAGGTAAAATTCTGGACCGCCAAAAATTTTTTGAAAATATAAATTACTCAAATAAATTATTTAAAAAATATTTTTTTACGTTTGTGTGCCACCCTTATCATTTTTTCTAGTATTTTACAATTGTGACTGATTTGAGTTCTTAATGCTAATGAAAATAAAAAATTAATAAGAAATATGAATTTTTTTCTGGACCTCGTTAAAAAATTTCAAAAGTATCCGGACCCCACCTAAAATTACTTGCCGACTCCTGGCCTAGATCATGGGATTTAACGCCGTTTGACTTTTTTCTGGGTTTTTTTGAAGTCTGAGGTTTATGCCAACAAGCGCAGGACCACCCACATCTTCATGGAGGAAATTGAGCGCTGCATCAACGAAATTCAGCCGCATTTATGCAAAACGATCATAGAAAATTTCTACAAAAGAGTGCGCATGTGCCAACAAAGCCGTGGAGTCCATTTATCCGATATGTTATTGCGTACATAACCCTATACTATAGGTATACTTTATGAATCAATAAAAAATTTACAATTTTTAATTAAGCGTTTTCTGTGAATATATTATGAAATTTATTTTTAGATGTGCTTTTTCTTAAGAGTGTCCCTTCTTAGGCAACTTTCCTTGCTGCAAGATACTTCTGTTTCACACTTTGTAGAGAAGGAAGTGTCACAGATGACGTGACAAAAACAAATTACAACTAAAATGTATATTAAGGGACTCGTCTTCAATTCATCAATTAAATTACCTTTTCAAATGGCAGTGATCCTCTCCTATAAGTCCTCCGGCCGTTACTCTTGGGACACTCCTCGATCCCGTTCAAGTTGTATTCCTTTTCCTGGAGCAGAGACGACTTGGAGTACCGCGTGATGTTGTGGAGGGAATGGGACCGGCTCATATCCCCCGGGTTGTCGACGATGGTGCTGTTTACCTGAGGAGTGGGTTCCCTCTCGAAACGTACGCTGAGGGGTACGTTCAGGCTGCAGGTGCTCTCGTTGCTCGCCCGTCTCGAAGAACCTAAATTTACGGATGTTTCGATTACAGTTTTGTAATGTTTGTCATTCCTAATCGATTTTTGGATATTTATCGAGAAGTTAGTCAATTTTTTGCAAAGGAAATTTAGAAGGAATTTGAAAAGGGAAGAGCAAATTGAATTTTATGGGGCGTAATTAGGGAAACGAATAACGTACCTATAATTTTTCTGTACAGTAACTATTTTTCTCATTTTTTGCACTAATTTCATCATTAACTCAGCAAGAATTGTTTTTGATTGTTTATTTAGCTCGGAATAGAGATGTACCGGTGAAAACCGGGAAAAATTCGGGAAAAAACTTGTTTTTTCCATGTTTTTTATTTTGAAGCAAAAATTGAAGAAGCACGAAATAAAAACACTTATTACTGTGATGGAATAAACCTCAATAAGTACGATAATCTGAAAAAAATAACATTATTATACAAAAGTTGTTGCTTTTGATTTAATACGTGTATCTCAAATTTTTCCGAATTTTTTCCAATTTGTCTATTTAAAAAACATTCCTAGATCTTTGTCCTGCCTATTGGCCAAGTACTCTTCTGATTATACTCTAATTGAGTAGGTCAATACATGTTAGTACATAATCAACTAAATCATACTTTGTTAGCTCTACTGTGGCTTTAGTTTCAATTTTTAAATACTTAACATAAGTTTTTAATTCTAAGGTCCAGTCTTCTGTTCCTTATAGACCAATTAAATGACCCTATAAATCACAATTTTGGTCAACTTTTGAAATTTGAGGTATAGTAATAAAAAAAGTTTCTTATAAAAGTTGTAGAGTATAAAATTCTACATAAAAATGGTCTATTGACTCTTTCTTATACTATTAAAATTAACAGAGTTAGGGAGACTAGAAGTTAAGGGATGATTTGAGAAATTTAAAAAATCATAAGCAGAAAAATGGATGAATCTTTTTATTTTTTTTCAATCTACTCTAAAAAATGTTAACTACCTTTTCAGAGAAATAGATATATTTTTTAATTTTTAATAAAAAGTTATAACAATTTCACAAAGCGAACGTGATTTTTTATCTTTAACGTAAAACAAAATTTCGAAAGCAACTTTTCAATATTTTAAATAAACAATCGAATAGCATAGAAAAAAATTGTTTTAGTGTTAAATCATAAAAATTAACGATTAATAAATTGAAGTTGTTATAAATTTTTTATTAAAAATTAAAAATATATCTATTTCTCTGAAAAGAAAGTTTACATTTTTTAGAAAAAAAAAATATAAAATTCATTCATTTTTCTGCTTGTTATAATTTTTTTAAATTTCTGAAATCATCCCTTAACTTCTAGTCACCCTAACTCTGTTAATTTTAATAGTACACGAAAAAGTCAATAGACCATTTTTATGTAGAATTTTATGCTCTTTATAAAAATTCTTCTTTCTAGCTGTTACCCCTTTTGAGTTATCTTGAAAAACCCCTTTTTTTCACCCCTGGCCGTCGGTTGAAAAAAAAAATTACTTATTGCTATTATATACCTTAAATATCAAAAATTCAGGCAAGTTGACCAAATTGCGATTTAAACGCCCATTCAATTGGACTATTACATTGGGCATTGGTTATTATTAATATAATTTTGTTGTAGATTTTTCTTATAAATCGTATATAAAATACCTGCACCATATAAAGCCATATTAAGCTCTGAATCATTATATCTAGTATTATGTTCAATAGAAATGGCTTAATTTTGGTACCTATGAACCATACTTAATTCTTAATAATGAAGAATCAAAATTGTTTCTGACAATAGGAAAAAATGTAAAAAATTAATTAAATTAGCTGTATTAAGAGCCCCTAAACCAAATAACACCACTACAAATTTTTGTGCTTTTTTAAGGCAGATGCGAATTTCAAGACAAAACCATTGTAAGCCTTATATAGGGTGTCCCAAAAGTAACGCAGGTTTTGAATTGAGCGTCATTTTCTTTCCGAAGAGTTGGCAGCGTTGTGTAAGATCACATGTTATATTAAACACGTTACGGTTAAACAAAAAGGGGCGCCATACAACGGATGAGCGAGTACGGAAAGTATGTAGCTGAGACTGTGCTCAAATTACGTGAAATTTTCGGTAGAAGGAAAAGACTAGGTGCCAAATTTGATTTTGTCAAGAAAATCATCCTTAGACTTTAGGCATATTTCCATCTTAGTGGGTATGTGAGCAAGTAAAACTGTCGAATTTGAGGCAGAGACAATCCTAGGGTCATTCAACAACGACCCTGTATACCCAAAGAGTGACAGTGTGATGTGGATTTTACGCTGGTGGGATGATTGGTCCGTTCTTTTTTGAAAATGAGGCTGGAAACGCAGTGACTGTCAATGGAGAACGGTATCGACATACGCTACTGAACTTTTTGTGGTCTCATTTAGATGGCATGGACTTGAATGGCATTTGGTTCCACCTGCGGCAGGTGAAATAAACTTGCTACGCCAAAAATTTAATGGACGCCTCATCTTACGCCTCAAGTGAAGTGACTTGACCACCAAGATTATGCAATCTTGCGCCATGCGACTTTTCCTGTGACGATTCCTAAAGTTCAAGGTTTATTCTGCTCAAATGAATACTATTCTTGAATTAAAGGCAGAAATTCGGAGAGTTGTCAACGAAATTCAGCCGAAGGTATGCGAAAGCGTGATACAGAAAATTCTTAAAAGAAGTCGAGTATGCCAAATGAGTCGCTGATGACATGTCTTTCATATTTAATGGCAATGTCTACCCTTTGAAAAGACGTAAAAACTTTGCCAACTTTTTAATTAATAAAATCCTTTTTCTTCATATGAAATCCGGCGTTTCTTTTAGGACACCTAACACGATCCAACTCTCGTAAACAGATTGTACTCATGTCATGTATGCTTACTGTCTTTAGACTGCAATTTTCTTCTTTGGTAGCAGCTTCATTTGTTATGTAAAATAAAACTCCACATCATCAATAGAAAGTGGCGTAATTCCAAATAAAGATCCATTTTCCCTGAAGAAACAAAGAAAATCAACTTCTTCGCACCAGAATGCGATCAGAAGCTTTTGCAGTACCATGATGCTCTCTGCCTTTGATAATGTCAGTTGTTTTCAGTCAGTAGGGATTTGTTGGTGGCTTCGTTTCAAAACGACAGCGTTTTTGCCTTATTAGAAACGTAGACCAAATTTGGCACAGGTACCCTAACTCTCAGAAAATTGTTTCTCGCTCTTTTTAAATTACTGTTGTTTCACTTGTGTTTATTTATAGAATATAACCCATCTAATATTCAACAAGCACTACCTATGTAGATTTTATTCATTCATTTTATCATTTTAATGATATTTCCCTAAGGAAGTAATTTATATTTTTATTTCTACACGAACAATAATTTTGAATCACTGGAAATAAATAATATTCGCATACAGAATGTCCATGGATTGAGTGAACAAGAGGACAAATAGACCAAAAAGTGAAAGATACGAAAAATGGCATTCTTGATAAAAATTTTTACTTGTTCAGAAATTACGAATCACCACGACGAACTTCAATTTTGTTGCACAGGGTGGGTCAAAAACAGAAAAATGTTACTTTGCTTAAGAGTAAACATACCTTATTTTGCAAGATACGGAAAAAAGCCATTCTTGATGAAAGTTTTTGCTTGAAAAATGAATAAGAGTCAAACCACACTGTAATCACACATTGGAAGAGAGAGATGAAGCAAAAAGACTAGATTTTCGTTTGTGAAATTTATTTATTTATTTATTTAGTTTATTTTGCTTATATGACATTACATGAATGTATAGCAATGGTCAATGTGATGGACAAATGACCAATATGTTTCTATGGGTCTGTTTATGCTACTCCAATATCAAATAATATTGAAATGCTAAAAGGCACAATTACCCAGGCAGTCCGTTCAATATCCCAGAAAGAAATCTGAAATTCCTTCAGATATCTAAAGAAACAATTATAGAAAAATATGTTCAATATGGGGGTGGTGTTTTTGAGTTTTGATATCTTGTTGATATATTGTTGTAATTATTTTCGTATTATTTAAAAATTACACTAGAATAAGACATGTTTTAGTTTTGTACTTTGTTCCCTGTACAAAAAATTAAATTTTTGATTACGTGACTCTTATTCATTTTTTGAGCAAAAACTTTCATCAAAAATGGCTTTTTTGTATCTTACAAAATAAGGTATGTTTACTCTTACGCAAAATAACATTTCTGTGTTTTTGACCCACCCAGTACAACAAAATTGAAGTTCGTCATGGTGATTCATATTTTCTATACAAGCAAAAACTTATGAGGAATGCCTTTTTTTCATATGTTTCACTTTTTGGTCTATTTGCGCTCTTGTAAACTCAATAAATACATAATATTGAGTACAACGTACAGCTAGCATTACAAAATAATTTTTATGGAAAAGAAAAAACTTTGTTCCCAAAATTCATTTATAATAGATATAAGTATATAAGTACGTAAGGAACCGATCTTTAGCACTTTAGTTAGTACAACCTGAAATATCTCAAAAAAAATGGTATCGGAAATTACTAAAAGCAACTCACGAAGCTATCCCTTGTTAGTAAAAAAAAAATATGGCATATTCGTACATAAAACAATAAAAAACTGTAGATAAATACCGAATTTGAATGAAATCGCTTTAATCATTTTTTTGTAATTAGAAAAAAACACTGTTGTTTTTTTAATTTAATCCAAGATATGGATCTTGAAGTCAAAGTACCTCAGTCAAGCACCCTGTTAGATTTTGATCCCATATTAATTCAAGATCTAATTCTACCTCTATTCCATCCTGTATGAATTATAATAGTATTCAGTTAAATAATCTTGAGGTTACCAAAGGTGCCATAATAAATACAATTAAGAGAATGGAGGGTAATTTTACAATGGGACCTGATTTAAACCTGCATTTTTAATAAAAGACTGTAAAACAATTTTCGCAAAACCTTTAAAAACCATATTCAATTCTAGGTATAATTACATATATATAAAGAATATCCACAAGTATGGAAAGAGTCGCGAATACGCTCCGTTTATAAAAAAGGTACCAAGAACGACATAACTAACTATCAGCCTATAGTAATTTCTCAAAAATCCTAGAAATAATTTTACACAATCGGCTTTATTTTCATATTGAAAAATCGATATCTCCGTACCAACATGGATTTATGAGTGGTCGTTCAACTACCTCAAATCTAGTTCAGAAAATCCAATTTATTGCTGAAGCTTTGGATGCAGGAAGTCAGGTTGATATTGTCTATACCGATTTTTCTAAAGCTTTCGATCAGCTTGATAACTTATTAACATTGAAATTGGAGTCATATGGTATATCACCTGCTCTATTATCTCTGTTTAAATCCTAATTTAGTAATAGGTACCAATTTGTGCAATATCGAGGCTTTCAATCATGTAAATTCCATCAATCTTCAGGAGTTCCGCAAGGGTCAATCCTGGGAGCACTGTTATTTATTATTTTTATTAATGACTTAATTGGATGCCTCGATGTCAACTATTTACTCTATGTGGACGACCTGAAGTTGTTCTTGGAAGTTAAATCCTCTAATGATTGTACTAGATTACAAGATAATCTTGACAGATTTTGCGTAATTCTAAGGACTTTCAGTCATTGTATGTAGCATTTGTGCAAGCTTGAATATGCATCGGTTGTTTGAAGTCCCATTTATAATATTCAATTAGAGAATGTACAACAGTGATTTTTAAAGACTATTCATTTTATTAGTTATGGATTTTATCCTCCTCGTGGTACACCTCAAGATTTATTGCTTTCTTATTTTAATTTTAATAGTCTCTGTCGTAGGCGAATTATGTTTTCAATTATATTCCTTTTTAAAATCATAAATAACACGTTAAATGCAGACTCGTTAGTCTCAAGGATTTTATTTCATGTTCTTAGACTTAATTCTAGATTTCGCTCCTTTTTACAGTTACCCACACCTCGTACCAATTTACTAATAGCAACTCCCCTATATCAAATGATTTCCAATTACCAAAAGTATGAAGATCGACTTGAGATATTTTTTCATTCTACGAATGACATAAAAAAATTGTTTGTCTAGCAAATGTAATCCTTATCTTGTAATTGTTAGTTAGCTTATTTATTTTATTTGTCTGTTATTGCTTATACTTAAGTTCTTTGTCTGGATTTTATATTTTATATTTTGATTGCTCTATGTTATGTAGTATTTATATTTTTATATATAGTTTGTATTTTTCTTTTAATATTTAGTTAAGGTTTTCTGTTTTACCTTATCCGGTAATTGGGACTTTGTACCGTTGGATATTGTAACTTCTAAATAAATAAATAAATAACAAATGTTAGAATGTAGGTAGGTACTAATATTTTTTTCTTCTGACACTTTGAGCAATATTTATTTTACAACTAAAGAATGAATAGAGGTATATATTATTTAAAAATTTTGTTTGTTTTATCATTATTATTTGACCAAAAAATCACTGAGGATATCGTAGTTGGCTTAAATAGGGGCTGCCAAATTATTGTCTCCTAACAATTCTTAGCGAATAATAATAAGGTTAAAAATTTCAACTCACCGTTAGATTTCGGCGTAAGTTCTGACTCTATGAACAAAGAATTCAGGTCTCTGTGATTGCTGTCCATCTTCGTATCGCTAGACAACTTCAACTTGAATAAAGTCATCAAGTATAAATTAAAAAACCACGTCTATGACAAAAACAGCACAAAACACAAATAGTAAACTACTCGCTACGTTCAAAATTAAATGTTATCTATAGCGTCATTGTTAAAATCGAAAAAAGTAAACTGTTGTTTTGTCTCGAAAGTTTTTTTCAAAATCCGTTTATTAAGTTGGCATGCTGTCCCGTTCTTTCGAGCCGACCAACTATCCGCAATTGATATGTCCATCAGATCCTTATCGACAAAGAGTACCTTTAATATTTTATAGAGAAATGCCATAGAAACGATAATATACACATAAAAAATCAATTTTAACCTATATATTTCCGACAGACAGGAGATAATGGCGGTTTAACGCCGGTTTGTCGTCTCTCTCTTCCTAATCAAAAAATGGTAATCAAAATGTATTGTAGTATTTATAAGGTTATTATTTTATTATCCTTGTTCTAAAGAAGCATTAAGCAACCATTGAATATTAACGGAAGTTTTGTTTAACGATCATTGCAGTTGATGTTGATAAAACGTTATGCAGCTTTCTGAGCTATCAAATATATCAGAAACTACAAATAGTGTCAATAAAATTAAGCAAAATATTATTAAAAGTCAAATGTTCTAGGTATCTAAAATATGTCTAGTCCCTACTTAGATTTCTAGTATCGAAGAACATTGTTTGATTTCAATTGAAATGATTTTTTAGAAAAAAAAAATTAATTTGTTTGAATTAAGTCACTTTACAAGAAAATAAAAATACGAAAGCTGAAAATACATGATTTAAATAAACTAATGGTATTGTGGTATAGCCCGGTCAAAATAGACATTTCAAATAAAGAAAATTCCGACAGAGCTAAATTTTGGTGAAGACCTTGGGTACACTATTAGAAATAAAGTGTCAAAAGTCCCCATCGATCCCATGTGTGCTAAAAAAGTTATTCGTTGTCAAACGTCAAAATTTGAGGTTTTTTGGATTTTTTTCGAAAACGGTATGTTTTATCAAAAAAGTAGCCCTGACAAAAATTGTAGATCTCAAAATTATCTACTGAGAACTATCAGGTTTAACCTTGTTCCTTACTACCGATTTAATTGTACACATTAAAAATCAGTAGGTATTTTGATAAGGAAAATATATTCTTCAGTAATTTGAGGTATTTTTTAATATACGCCTGGATTCGTACAACTAATTATACATATATTTAATTAAATTATAGTGGTTATGTCTCTTCACTATATTGAGGTAACATTATTTTATTGTTTTTATATTTTTTTAGTTCTGTTCTTCTTACTGATTAATTTATAACAACGTCACTGATGTGCGGTAGAGGTACAGCGATTAGTATCTAACGATTATTGTTATTAAATATTGCAATAATCTATAAAGTTGTTCTTCAGGATCAACTAGTCAATTTTTAATAGTTATCTGTGTATAAAATATAACACACTGAGTAAAATATTACTTAATATGCTCTCATTCACTAAAATTTCTAATCGTATTTTGTTTTTGTAAAGTGTTTTTTGATACAACGTATACACTTCGAGTGGGGGTTCCCCTGAACACGAATCTAAAATTACTTTCTTTTTAATCAAGTACATAGTCGAGCTATAATTATTTTTCTAAAATACACCTTAATTCTTGTACTTATACGCCGCCACTGAGCCGCATAAACCGGGGCAACCGGAAATCGTGTGTAAAGTTGTATTAGTGCACTATCAACTTTGCCAGTTGTTTTTAAATCGATCTACATTGTGGGCTGTGGAATGAAAAATAATTTAGTAAAACATATTGCATTTGTATAACTTAGCAAGGGGTTATTTTAAAGTCACCAAATATTTTTGATATCACTGTTATCGAAGCGCTGAACAATAAAAACAAAAAATTCTATCCATTCTAAAAAAAACACAACAATTTTTACATGATTTATTAAATATTAACTAATATTGGTACAACAAAACTAATTAAAAATAATTTTGTTATTACAGATTCATTTAATATTACGACTTGCTATTTTAAAGTCACCATATCTTTTTTGTAAATGTGGACCAAGCGCCGAACACTTAAAAACCGCTGTTATGTTGCGGTATGCCTTTGAAGGCGGATAAGCCGGCTGTCCTCGCACCTGACATATAACAGGAATGGCCGAAAACTACACTGTTTCATTTGGTTACAGCTTTGTTTAATCTTCGACTTTATCAGTTTGGGTAAGGTTGTACATAAAGTGCTTGTAAGTGGTGTAATATTAGTATATAATTTTATAAAGTTATTTATTTCAGTTTTCAGTGACGATAGAGTAATAGTGTGTTTTAATTTCAAGTTTTTGTACATTATGAAAAAGCACGTATACAAATCAAGAAAGAGTCGATTTGGTTAGGTCCTACTTTTTATCAGGAGCAAAGAAGACGATATCAGATAGATTACGCCGACTTATAGTACCGTATAAGAATATTCTTGCCAGATTGGTTCAACATTTAAGAGACTATGGGATCTTTGAGCCAGTTTGAAACACAGCGGAAGAGGATCCTGGTACCAGGACTCAAAGATTTGTCACAAAATCTTAAGTGTTAAGTTATAAAAATCAGGAGAGTAAACAAATTATATATTTATTTTTGTGTATTTCATTTATCATTATTGATTACTGCTTGATTTTGCCGCTATAGTTTATCTTATTTAAACTTTGGGAATAACCTTTCCCTTAAAAATAAGATTTGACAACAATGCACAGCCCAGTTCCCAATTGTGCATGCTCTGCGAGTAAAGCGCGCCGTAGTTTGAAACTACACTAGCTTGTCCAGCGGTGGGATAAGAAAATTACGAAAAGAAGGATAAAAATAATTTATTTTCAAGACAAATTTTGAAAAAATAAACTATTGATACACATTTTTAAAGGTCAAAGGAAGCCTCTGTAAAAATATGACCACCTATATATTGTTGTATGGTATAATTTATGTCACGATAATTTTCTTCATTTATTTCCGCTATATTCGCATTTTCATCGTCTGTTGGACGTCCGGAGAATAAACTAGCACAATTTTCATGGTCAGGAGCAAATTTTACGACAAACTAACACTTAAGAGGTGTCGTTAGCGGAACTAAATCCGTCAAATTCCGTTTAACTTGACCTACCAAGAAATTATTAACAGATTAATAAAAAAATTTCACGGTAATCATCCCGGTGCAATTTTATACAAAGCCAGCTTTCTTTTGAATGCACCTATGACAGTTACATTAACAACTATGTCGGCCGAAGAGGGTATATTTGAGTCATTTTGCGTTGCAATTTAATTGTAAGTGGCCAAAAGAGAAATCTGAAAATGCATCACTTTACAATAGTTTTTTATGTTTTAATTACGCATTGTTGGTTATTAACTCTTGTGTGCACCTTTACGCCACTGATATATTTAGACAGTTTAAAAAAAACATGAAGTTACCACCAGCTTTTGTGAAATCCTAGACCTCTAGCTTCCCATCTATAACTATTGTTAATTTTTTTCCGAGCATTTTTTTATTCAAACCGTCTTTAATTCTAATACGATTATAGTAATCATATGTATATGAGAACAATACTTAGGGCATGTTACTAAACTCGGTTTATAAGAAATTTTGAACAATACACCCACGTCGACGTAAACATAATGTCCATATTCCCAAAACCTACAGATTTTTAATAACAGGTAATGGAAACATAATAAAAGGTCAACAGAGAACTGAACTAAATATAGACTCAAACTGGGCTAAGATGTCTTGAATTATTGATAAAATTATGTGGGCAGACATGGCTGGGGTTTACCTTTAAAATTTAATGAGGCGCTTGAGTCAGTTTAACATGTAGACCTCGGGAATGCCCCAGTTTAATGTTTCATGAAAAAAAACATACTAGGTACCTCTCTATCACAATATTAGACCAAGCAAATTAAATTTTTACTCGAAAAAAGTCCTATCCGCTAGATTATTGTAAAATTGTCTAAAGTAACATAATACAAGACATCTCTCGTCTCGTGAGTCAAACACTTTTATTAGCTAACTTTTCTATTTAATCAAATAAGTGAGAAAAACAGTTTTTTCACTTTGCAGGGAAAACCATCAATTTTAGCGAAAAGTGACTCTTATAGGGAGTAAAATTATCTACAAAATGAGACTAGTTAAATTAAAATCGGTTAAGAAACAAAAAAGTTATTGCAAAAAAACAAGAAAAGTGCCCATTTTTTCATTTGTTTATAACTATCGCATTTATTGTTAAAATTTTATAAAACCTATGACAAGTTGAGGGTTTTGTCATACTTTAAAAGTGTGCCAAAAGTGGGCGCTGTAGGTGCAATAGTTTTCGCACAATTCTATTTGTTTATAGCGGAGGCTCCAAAAGTTATGAACTTTAAGCCTCTGTACAGGCGTTAATTTTCAACCAAACATGATTCTGAAAGCGTCATTGTAATCTTAAAGACGTAATTAAGCGACCTATTAAAAAATATCACCGTTTTTTTGACATTAACATTCTCAAATTGTGCATTAAAAAACCGTGCGTTTTTCGCTTATAAACAATTTGAATAACATTGTTGCTATTTATGCTATCTCACCGAAAATAGATGCAATGGATAGCTGGCAAAAAAATACAGTTTTAAAATAAAAAAAGTACCCTCTACGACCAACAGGAGCCAAGATAAGAATTTTTTTTTAAAAATTCGTAGCGCAATTGTTTATAAACATTAAGACTTGAATTTTTCGCAAAATAAAGTTTACGACGTAAACTACGATTTCCCGTGAATTGCATTGAAAAATGTGGAAAATTAACGACTCACGAGCCCTTTAAAGAGAAGGTACTCGCTAAGTAAACTGTCCGGCGGCCGGCGGCGTGGTGGTGGGGGAAGCTCGTCCAAGCGGTAGCGCTGGCGAGAAAAGTTAAATCCAAAGTTTAAATAGGTGCGCGCTCTAAATTTTGCTATATCTCGGCTTCTATTCATCGTAGAAACTTATTTTTTT